AGAAAGGAAAGAAATCAAAGTAAGCTGTCGGAGCCAGCTTCCCCAAGGAGGGGCGTGTAGATGATATTGATGTTTTTTTGTTGTTTCTTTGTTACTCACTCCAGTATTCGTATTGTTAGCCGTTGCCGTTACTCAATCAATACCGTCTTCGATGCACTTTTGGGCGGCTTGACCGCCAATATTCGATAACATGTTGCCTTTTCGATCTACAATCCATTAGCCCCGCCTCCGCCATATAAAAGGAGGCTAGTCAATCAGTTCGAATTATTATTGTACTTGTTCGTCTTTGAGCCGGTTGGCTCCACCATTCCCGCCATCGCTTTTTTTTAATAAAGCTGCGACTAAATTGGGACCTCTACACGCAAACCGTAGTAGACATCAAACCCACATGGGGGCCGAGTTTTAGGAACTTGGTCGCACGCTGAGGATAGGGCGCTAGACAAAATCAATACCCCTCTAACTACAGCACTTGGAAGGAGAGTTCCCCTCTCACTTCCTTATAGTGCAATCAGCTCAAGAGCCGCTTGTCGCGGTGGAGCTGAATAGCTGCCGTGGGGTAGCACCACTAAGTGAGTGGAATAGCATCCACTCGTCATACTTAGTGGGCGGGTAAGCAGTTTTACAAGGCAGAACTCTGCGCAAATTTTTTTTTGCACCAGGCCTTGAAGCTTACTGCAGAGCTGGTGGAGCAGCTCGGAATTGCAAGCTTAGGTAGCGGAACGCTTACGGGCAGCTTGCCAAAGACAGACAGACAAACGGATGCACTGAGAGGTCGGCGAGGACCGAAAAGCTGAAGCGTAGCGGTGAACCTACGTAGCTACTCTGGTGCTGTCTCAAAAGACATTGAGAAATCAACCAAACACGTTAGAAATCAGGAATCTAGTAACGTATTCGCTGGTAGAATTCCGTTTTGTCTCGTCATATTCGGCACAATTTCGTGAGTTGTGATCAGGGTGCGGAGCATATAATCGTATACACTTTCAGAAATGGCTGATAGTGACTTTGATAAAGAAGTCGAGAAGATGCTCTCTTTGGAGTCTAGTGAGGAGGCTCGTGTGACACAACTCCAAGCACAAGTGTCATCGTTAATGGAACAAGTGCAGAAGTTGACACAGCAGGCAGTGCAGGTAAAAGCCTCATTATCAATCATTTATTCAGAGGTACAGACGCTGCATACACTTCCAGACCGGGTGCAACAGAAGCTCGGAAGTGGAAATAACACAAGAGCGGCTAGCAAAAACCGCGAAGAAGTAGCTCAAGCGATTCTGGAACTTTCTCATAGTACTTGCGAAATAATGAATAGAGAGGTTCCGAGAATTGACCAATTTGTAGACAAGATTTTGCAATTGGAGCACTACAATTGGGATCAATTGATTACTGAGCAAAATGAGCTATACGCGCAAGCGCGACATGATGATCACTGTTTGCGAGAATTAGCGCGGTTACTCGATGTGACTTCTACAGAAGTCGTCGATACAGTAAAAAGCTATATTGGCAAGCACAAAGATTTTGATGGACCTAGTTCAGACTTGTCAAATCACAGTACAAAAGGTCACTCCTGCAAAAGGGACCATCAAGACGTTGATAATAAGCTGCTGTTTCAGAGAGAGCAGCCGATGGACGTAGACAGACCAGGCACAAGTGCCAGCACCACGTTCAGAACCGTTATGAGGCAGGTGCGAGAAGGAGAGCTAACGGCGACTCCAGAGCTCACGCGATTCAACTTAGCTGAGGCGGAGCAAGGTCAGTTCTACTCCACGAAACCAACAACTTACAAAAGTTTTGTTCCGATATCTCTGCATGCAGACGTTGATGTGGCTAATAATATGTTTTTGCAGCAGTCGAGATGCAGAGAGAGGCCAGAGACCGCACCAGTGCCGACCAGCCAAGGTGTGTTTTCATCTTCAACTCAAATGTTACCAGAACTAGGTGTAGGTGCAACTTTAGCGGCTATGGCTTTACCGGATGTGCAACCTTTCTCCCATCCCCAAGGAAAAGGGTTTGAAAATTTTGTGAACTCATTTCAAATGAAATATGGGAGGCTAGGGTTACAAGATGACATGCTTATTCACCTCTTATGCTCAAAATTGCAAGGATATCCAAAATCGGTGATGGAAACCTTGCCCCGTAACTGTCGAGAGGGGAGCTACATTGCTTTTCTGGAAGCTTTGAGAGGTAAACTGAAGGAAACTGAATCCGCGCAACGTACTGAAGCATACATCAAGTTGAAGCAGCTTCGGAAGCGGTCGTCAGTGATAGATTACTGCGTCGAATTGGAGGAGCTGACTCGCAGAGTTTATCCGGACGCGAGCGATAAGGAGCTATCCATGATTCGCGCAGGAGAGCTGATCACACAGCTCACAGAATGGAAGGAATATATTCAACTGTTCAACACCTTAGAACAGGCACAACAGGACGAAGCCTATGAAAAGCTCAAGAGCCTTGCACAAAGCATAGAGAGGAGCCGTCAAGTGGCTAATGCCGTGCGATTTGCTGTCAGATCAGGTCATGATAGTCGAATGAATATAGGCCGAAGCGACCCGCTAGATCGCATTAAGTCTGACAACCCCTCGGGCAGAAGGGAAGACAGTGAGGAGAAACAGCATGGCGAAGATAGTGAAGCAAAAACTTGCTCATTTTGCAAGAAACAAGGTCACTTCCGAAGAGACTGCTGGAAAGCTCACAGATCTCGAGGCAAACTATCTGGAACAGTTCAGATTGGAGCCAGGAACAGGCAATCTCAAATAGTTCAAAGACTGCCGTCTAGTAATTCGGAACTTCCAAATCCAAATAATGCTCCCCAGAGGCTAACGAAGGAAGGCAATGGAACCAAGACCTTCACCACAACATTGAACCGTTGGAATTGCAAGGAAATTCAGGCGAAGTCGATGGTTGAAAGTGAACTGTTCGGGCAACAAACCATCGCTAAAGTAAATCTCCTGGGCATGTCAAAGCTGGCGCTACTGGACACAGGATCTCAAGTTAGTATTATGCCACTCAGGGTACTAAATGAGGCGCAGGAAGCAGGATTTGACATAGATGGAGACATAGAAGAAATACCAATGCCCAAGAATAGGAGAATCTATGACGCCTCCGGAAACAAAATGACCTTCAAAGGGGCAATACGCCTCACAGTAAAGGCTAGAAGCACACAGCCCCAAAGGGTAGCAATGTTGGTAAGGAAGTCAGATGATAACATGATAGTCTTCGGAACCAACGCACTGAAGAAATTCAACTTGGTGCTTAAAGAAGATCACGAGTCTCAACGAGGGCGAGACAAAGCATGGGGACAAAGTTTGAATAAGAACGGAAGATTACGAACTGGAAACTCTTCGACTCGTCCAGCTACAGTAGTTCGGCGAGTATACATTCGTCCAGGAGAAACAAGAGCTGTAGCTATTTCCATGCCAAAGCCGGGAACGGATCGGATGTTATGGTCGCATTGCGATGTTATTCCTGATACCGTGTGTTGCAGCAGCAAACCTGTAATTGAGATACCAGTGACTAACACACTGGATCAACCTAAAGTCTTCCGTGCAGGAGAAGAAGTAGGGAGCTGGGACACGAGCTCCATTGTGGAACGACCACCAGCGGAACACACTAACATGCTGGAACGCACTTGTCGTAGTGTCCCTGAACGGGATCAACAACTTTGGGAATTACTCTGCCAAAGGAAAGAAAATATGGAATACTACAAGCCTCTGAGAGACCTGATAGAACAATTCAGCGATGTTTTTGCAGTCTCAGATCAAGAATTGTCTCAAACTGATTTGGTAGAGCATGATATAGAGACGGATACGGCATCCCCAATTCGTCAAAAAGCGCGACCAGTACCGCTAGGAACGCGGCTGGAACTGCGCAAGATCTTAGCAGATTTGCAGGAGCGGAATATTATCGAGCGTAGTGAATCCAACTGGGCCTCACCCATAGTTCTTGTCCAGAAAAAGGATGGATCATTAAGACTATGTGTGGATTACAGAAAGCTTAATCAGGTCACGAGGATACATAACTATCCGCTACCTACCATAGATACCATTTTGCAAGACCTCAAAGGCAAACGATACTTTTCCACGCTCGATCTTGCCTCCGGATACTGGCAAATAAAACTTACCAGAGAGGCTAAAGAAAAAAGCGCTTTTATCACAACGGAAGGACTCTTCCAGTTCAAAGTACTTCCGTTTGGTCTAGCCTCATCACCAGCAGTCTTCCAACGGCTGATGCATCTAGTCCTGGGCCATCTGCTGAATGACGAAGTCTTCTGTTATCTTGACGATATCATGGTGGCAACTAGTACTTTCGACAAGCACCTCCAAGTATTGGGAGAGGTTCTGTGCGCGCTACGAGAGGCGCATCTCAAACTGAATCCTCGAAAATGTGTTTTGGTGGAGAACACCGTGGAGTTCCTTGGCCACGTCATTGATCAAGACGGACTTCACATGGATCCTCGGAAGGTGGCTGCCATCGTGAATTATCCGGAGCCTCAGACTAGATCCGATATGCGTACCTTCCTTGGAATGTGTTCCTATTATCGAAAATTTGTGCTGGGATTCTCGAAAATCGCTGGACCACTGCACGAAATGACATCCGAAAAGCAGTCCTACACGTGGACGCAGTCAAGACGCGAGGCCTTCTCTGAATTGAAGCGAATTATCACACAAGCTCCCGTTCTTGCACAGCCAGATATCGATGCAGCAAGAGCCGGCAAGAGGCCGTTCAAGATCCACACAGACGCAAGCTACTCTGGACTAGGTGCGGTGCTTAGTCAAGAGGGCGAAGATGGATTCTTGCATCCTATATTTTTCGCGTCAAAAAGTCTGTCTAAGAGTGAAAAAAATTACCACATAACAGACCTCGAAGCTTTATCTGTGGTATTTGCCCTAAGAAAATTTCACATGTTCATCTATGGGCTGAGAACGGAGATCTTTACAGACCACCAGCCATTGCTGGCACTCTTTACGAGAACTAATGTCTCATCTAGGATTCTCCGATGGGCATTAGAGATTCAAAAGTACAACATCAAAATAGTATATCTCAGAGGAGCAGCTAATAAAGTAGCCGATGCCCTGAGTCGCGGTCCAGTGGACGATAACCCTCTCATAGCATATGCAGAAGCATTGCCCAATGCAAATATCGTCGCTGCCATGACGGATGAACCGCCTTGGACGCAGGAATTGCGTCAGGACAAAGTTTACGCAGAGATCATTGAAAATCTCGAACACAACAAACTCACGAAAGATGTAGTATTTCCAAATCAAGTTCGGAAATACAAGGTGGCGGACTTCGCCATGCACGATGGCTATCTCACCTTTATCGATAATACATGCTTCAGGAAAGTGGTCCCTCAAGCTCACAGGAAGAGAGTTTTCCTAGATGCGCATGCCTCATTACTAGCAGGACATTTCGGTCCGCAGAAAGTATTGAAAACTTTGAAGAAACGCGTATTCTGGGAGTCAATGAAAAGGGATGTTCTTCTCTGGTCAGAGGAATGCAAGAAATGTGCTTTGTTCAATCAAAAGTGTGGAATCACTCCTCCACTCAAACCAATTGCAACGACGAAACCGTTCGAATTGGTAGGGATCGACATACTTGAAATGGGTCAGACAACTAGCGGTAATCGCTACATTTTGAGCGTCATAGACCACTTCACCAAGTACGGAGGAGCGTACCCATTGCCATCAAAAGCAGCTGAAATTGTGGCGCGCACACTGTTCGAGCGCTGGATGGCAGATGGCTGCCGTATCCCAGAATGCATATTGTCAGATCAAGGCGGCGAATTTGACAATAAATTAATGGTCGAACTTACACGTCTGATGGGAATCCGGCAGATTACTTACTAAAGGATACAACCCACGTGAGAACGGACTGACCGAAAGGTTCAATAAGAGTATTATAGGGTTACTAAGAAAAAAGGTAGATCTCCCCATGGAATGGGATAAACTCCTACCACATTGTATGATCGCATACAATTCCACTGTCCATGAAGCTACTGGCGAATCACCGTTCTTTTTGTTACATGGGTTTGACTGCAAGATCCCATGGAACTCAGTACCGGGGAATGGTGTAAGTGAATACATGGTGGACATGGACTCCTATATAAATGAATTAGTGACGGGCTTGAAAGTAGTCCGAGATTTTGCGCGAGTCCAAAATCAGAAAGCTCGTGAGCGCATGAAAAAGTACTACGACAAATCTAAGAAGGTCGTGGAACGACCTTTCGCCGTAGGGGAGAGAGTATACATGCGCGTCCCCATGGAAAAGGCTGCGTCAACTCATCCAAAGCTCGCTAATGAATGGAACGGCCCATTCAGAATAATAGAAGTCAGCGACAACAGCGCTCTCATTACCTCTTTAGCCGGTAACGCTGAGCCGCTAAAGGTGCAGTTTGATTTCCTTAAAAGATTGCCTGTAGGACTGGATGATGAGCCAGTACAAACTACTAGACAAAGAAGGAAAAGGGGGAGACCAAAGAAACATAATGGAATTCATTGTAAAAAGGCTTGTTTCAGAGTCGACGTCGGGCCTCCACAGGAAGATCCGCTGCATCTCTTCCATCCGTGCACATGCAACATCTTCCGCACCAAGGCTCAGACTGCTCTGCCAAGTTTGCGTTCGGACCTCGCAAGATCAAAGCCGGTCAACAACATGTTCGAATTGGCCAACGTCGCGTCCATCGTGCTCGATCCGTTTTGGGGAGATCGACGCAAGGAGGAAGAGCTCCTGAACAAGGACTCAAAGCACCTGACAGTCTTGGGGCTGGCTCATGCGATCGCCGCGCATCGCTCGAGTTGTTATGCCTTCAGCACGGCATTGAGAAGTGCTCAAGGGAAACGCATCATTCATCCTCCCCTGTTTCCGGCTTTCCCCGGATACCACATCGAGTCGTATTATGCGCAGGCAGTCGAACGTCTTGATCAGATACCGAGAGAATACGATGACTCGCCGGCGAACCCCACCATTGTCGCTCTGCCACTGCCGTTCATCCGGGCCGAGAAGGAGCTCGAGGAAAATGATAAAGTCAGCATCACAGTATATTCGACGTTGGACGGACTAGCAGCGGAACTAAATGCTCGTTCGATCTCTGCCGCCGTGGTACTTGTTTGGCCTAATGATATGCCGGCCACCGTTCATCTCAACCACGTTATGCATGCGCTGGAGCGTCATTTGCAATGTGGGGGAACTCTAGATATGTACCCGCCACCGTACGAGGAGAGACGTAGCGAAATGTGGCACGCAGTGAAAAAGGTGTGCGCTGAGGTGGTCGAGGTACTCACAGGACCAGCCCGAGGATTCGATGCACGTGTCGTTGATGCGTATGGAACCATCGACAACATGGTGCCACTGGGGCACCCAGCCACGAGCCTTGGAGTAAGCCCACGACGGGGCGATGATAGGTTTCACCCCTGGCAGATAGCGGTGTTCCTGAACCAAGTGAGGAAATTCGCCATGAGTACGATTTCACTGCCGATCTTCTTCCCTTCCAAAAGAGAGAAACGAGACGTGACCGACGTAGAGGAGCAAAGCAAGGACCCGAAGCAGACAACCAAGGACCAGCCACCGAAGAAGAAGCAAAAGATATCGAAGCCGCACGTGATGTATGTTCGCGACGTGAAAGCCGAACGCAGCCGCCATGCTCACCTGATGAAGCAGAAAGGAAAGAAATCAAAGTAAGCTGTCGGAGCCAGCTTCCCCAAGGAGGGGCGTGTAGATGATATTGATGTTTTTTTGTTGTTTCTTTGTTACTCACTCCAGTATTCGTATTGTTAGCCGTTGCCGTTACTCAATCAATACCGTCTTCGATGCACTTTTGGGCGGCTTGACCGCCAATATTCGATAACATGTTGCCTTTTCGATCTACAATCCATTAGCCCCGCCTCCGCCATATAAAAGGAGGCTAGTCAATCAGTTCAAATTATTATTGTACTTGTTCGTCTTTGAGCCGGTTGGCTCCACCATTCCCGCCATCGCTTTTTTTAATAAAGCTGCGACTAAATTGGGACCTCTACACGCAAACCGTAGTAGACATCAAACCCACACTTTACACGTTCCAGCCGTAGTATGCACATCAACCACAATTTCTCTTCCTTAGGCTACTTCATATATCTGACACACCTGCAGACTCAAACGTGTCTGCTCGGGTCGTTGTGCTGGCGTTCATGTCCAAACTCAGTATTGGAATACACAGATCACCACCGCGTTCGACATTCGGGTGATAGAGCTGTAAAAAACCGTGCAGTAATATAGTGAATTTCAACTCTGAGAAGCAATACAAGCAACTTGAATGAGACATCTCTCGCGAATCCCCGTCATAAAAATGGCAACTACGACGGGATGGAAGGTTTGGTTTCTTGGACGACATACGACTTTGTATTTGATCCAAACCGCACTTCACACACGACTATCGCCCGCACACTTAAAGGCAAAAGTCAGGCTCGTGTTTGGGCATTATGGCGCCTGAAATTGAGTGTAGAGATGGGAGGTGGAACGACAGTGAAGAAAAAACGCAAAGAAACCGTCGACAAGACCGAAATCGAAACCCCTTCCTTCTAGCAGTGAAGGAGGCTTGCTCGGGGGAGAGCCACGTCCAAACGAGTTTTCCGGATATGCCAGCCGTTTCCATCGGTTGATACGGCAATCAACCTAGCTGATCTCACACGTTAGGCCAGCCACGCACCACATCCCGCGGTGGGCGGGACCAGCTGATGAAACGAACCCATCGCTGTAAGTAGTAGGCCAGAGGCCTTGACGGCGCGCAATCTCGAGTCAGGAGTGTGGCATCACCCCTCTGAGCGCATTCCTGGAAATATTAGTGATGGAAAGGCCTTCTATGGTCACCTAATCCTGACTCGTGGCTTCCAAATTTAGACAAAATTGAGTTAACTAAATGACAGCAGCAATATAAATAACTTCCCATTCTTGACAACTATACTCCCAACAGTTAACCTTCAGCGGTCTTTTCCTTATTCAAGACGAATTTTGCCAACCATCGGTGGCTGTCACTGTACTAGCCGAGCTTTCATTACCATTCTATCAGAAGTCGAAATTTAGCTCAATCCAGATTACTATTACTACAAAAACGAAAAGGAAGTCAGTAAGTGAAATGCCCACCATTGCCAAACTATTTTGAAGTGAGCCAAGCATTTGGCTTCCACACCCTTACTTGGCAGAGAGAAGTACTTTGACACCATCAAAGCTAGCCAGTTTACTTATTCACAAGTCAGAACTTCTGTCCCTTCAAAAAAATCTGGTGTGTCTACGGTTCCTACGTCATTGGAAAGGAAGACCAAAGCAATGGTTGTGCTTGGACTAACCTGATCTAGTTCGCTTCACGAGCGGCTAGTGTGATACTATGGAAGGTTTCAACTTCCCATGGGACTTCGGATAACCTGAGTCGGTAGGGTCAAGAACAGGGTGAAAATCGTGTCGAGTACGTGGTCGCAGAAGTACGAAATCGAGATCCTGGCACGACCCCCTCAAAACAGAGCAAATTAATTCAATTAATTAATCAAAAAAAATCCTGCAAAATAAATCAAAAAAAATCCTGCAAAATAATGTTAATGGACGCCTCATCTTGTCATCTATGCACTGTCTTTCATCGCTGCACACTTTTGTGTATTTACTGAAATATCGACTCGAGGAAAGAGGCATTAACTTTGTGTGACCTCAAAGTCAGGTTCGTTCAGAAATGCACAGAAATCCTGAAGGCACGGGGTTGCGATTTAATCTTAATTCCTGCTTGAGTATATCGAAACAGCCGAGTGTATCAATCATGTGGATAAATTTTCCAATCAGGTTGTGAGCAGAAAAGTTGGTAAGGAATGCAGCAAAAAGTAAGCCAGTATACACCCCAGTGAACAAATCCCCATAGGACCATTCACATCTTGCTTGGAGTTCAAGCAGCAGTTTTGGTCTCCATCCGCATAACTGTCATTGTTGACTTATCAATTTACCCAGTTCTCCATTCAAAATTTCATGGCAAGCTCTTCCCTTGTGAGAAGATTGATTGTTTCCATACAAGTTCCAAAAGTGCGCCACCATACTATCCTGAACACCACACAAAATAGGCCTTTTCATGGAGCCTATCTCAATCGCGACACTTAAAACCTCCTCGGCATGAATGGACTTTTTAGGTGGATTACTCAGTAACAGGGTTGATTAGTGAGGTAATTGTGGTGTACTCCTCTCGCTATTGTAAAAAATGTGTTCGAGAAATGTTTTTGCGGATTTGTAATGTTATCATTGTGTGGTATGATGAAACTTGAAAACGACCTACGTTATGTGCAAAGCGCACACTTGGAGGTCGAAACGGATAATCTCCGGCCATGTCAATGTTGAGCGTCATCACACCATTTGTGAATGGAGGCTGGTCCTACAATGCTCTGGTGCGACTAAAGTGATCAGAAAATGAAGAATGTGTGGATACTTGCCGATTTAAACTTCACATTGTAATTCTCCTTTTCTCCGACTTTTGTAATCGAAACAACATATTTCTTCTTTTCGGCCAGCTCTGCAATTTCCTGAAAGATTTGTTCATTGTTCAGCAGAATTAGCAGCTCAGTATAATTTACAAATCTGCCTTCGGCCAAGGCCATGTTCGGTTAGGTGAACCCATAAATGGACAGATCACAAGTATCATACCACAATTAGCGCTTCAGTCGTTCTCAAAGGCTATCGCTATAGTCAAAGTGGTTGAGCTGAATGCACGGTAATGACGAAGTATCGGAGCTTTCCTTCAACTGCAGTCAAATTCAGCATTCTTTACTCTTCCAGCAAATTTTCGAATTCTCTCAGTATTTCATTTATTTATGTATTCATTTGCTAAGCTATTGTTTACGATTGGCGCTCAGAAATATTATAATACATTGATTGCAAACAATAGTAAAGGTAGGAATAAAGATAAGTAAAAAATATATCTCAAAAGTGTACCCGTTTGGCTCCGCTCGTCATCGATGTAGGACGTAGGTCGAGTTTTGTTATTAACACGTTGACGACCGTGTGGTATGATGTCATACCACACTCTTTCGGCCACGTGGGACCGTGTGACATGATGTCATGTCACAGTCTTTTTTAAGCTGGTTTTCAAACATTTTAGGTAACTTATTTACGTGATGTATGCGCCATACTTAGGCATTGTTACAAAAGGCGTGGTCCCTGGAAAGAAGCTTCGGTTGATGGGCTATCGAGTTTTTCTAAAAATGTTTGAATAATGATCAAATCACAGGAATCGCTAAAATGGCCAAAATCGCATAATCGGAGACCTACCACACAAGAAAGATAACAAATACACACTTCCTGAGAAAAAGGAGTTCTCGTGGGACCGTTTGACATGATGCCATGTCACACTCGCGCGGTCAAAATAATGCGCGCGGTCCCACACGCCAGACAGCGAAAAATAGCGCGGTCGTCAACGTGTTAAGCAGCGTGCATGCCTTCAATGGATCTGACCATCTTTTAAAGGAAGCCATTACAATAAGAAACGGGCGCATCGGGGGAGTATATGCGCCACACGAAGCAGTTACTTGGCTGCCAAGGTTTCCGAAGCACTCCGCCCCCGAAAGGGGGCGAAGGTTTTATCGGCTGTATCTTCCAACTTGCCCATGTAATGCCTTATCAATCAAAACACTATGCTTGTTGGCATGATGGCGGCTATCGGGGTTAACACGTCCGAACAACGTCATTCTTTACCGTCGCTCATCCATGGTCGAAAATGAAAGGGCAATCAAAGGGGTACTATTTTGCTTATTTTTGACGGATTTCTTTGCTTTTTTCGCCATTGGCGTACTATTGAGACCCCCACGTCCCCTCTAAACCTCTCCGAATCTATCGTAATCGCTGCCCTAATGGAAGATTACTATAGTGCTGGCGATAAAGCAGCAATTTCCCGCAGCTCTTCAATACCCATAATGTCCACCATTTTCTAAAAACCAATCTAATCTACAACAAACTTTGAATAGTTGATACAATTCGTATTAATTGATAATTACAGAATGATGGACATTTATGGACGTTTACGCTTTGATGATATTTACAACTTGGGGCTGCTTATCATCCTCATGTTGTAAATATCATCAAAGCTTCGTAAACAATGACATGTCTCGGTTGTTGCAAGACTAGCGGTAACAATTATTATAGAAACTTCTTATGTCGCGCATGCGATGGCGTTGGCCACGCCCCTTGCGGACGAGCCACTTATTATCGCCTACGGTCACTGACCGCGTGTCGGTGCTCGTAGTGGATGGTTAGTGGTGACAGGTTGCTGTTCACCGGGTAACGCGATGAGGCCAGCCTAAGGCGAAGGGGCACGTCGCTCCGTAGTCCATGTTGGCGGAGCGCCTGTCACATCCCAAAGCCGGTCGTGTCCTTCCCCTACCCCGTCTGGGAGTAGCCCTCCAAACAGCGCGACTAGGATAAGTCGAGCACATGGAGCCCAGGAAGAACCTGAGCACACGATTGATAATTATGCATGATTGCTTGTATATTTCTTGTGTGTTTATGTTTACGTGGTATTGCACTAGTTCATATCTGGCTGTTGTTATTACACAGGTCAAGGCTAGCAGCTCCACACCTAATGAAGCTAGCCTGCCACTAGTATGTAAGTTGGGTTGTTTGCTGGTGAACCCCTCTTTCCCGGGGTTGTTGAGAACGCTTCTGCTGTGGTGTGCGCAGAAGTAGCGCAGTAAACATGACTCTGCGTGTGTGCCCCTAAATTCATTACTCCTACGCCTTCGCAAAGGTTACATGTGCACTGAATCCCCATCATCCGATAGCCGTTCTTATCTGCAGCGAATGAGGAAGATTCGGGAGCAAAAAACACTGCTCCCAATTCTTTAAAAGAGGCTTTGTTCTGTCTGAGCTTCTCTCCAAGTCACTACCGACACTATCCTTCTATTTTATAAAGCGCTAACTTTGTGTGTCGGTTTGTATGTCTGTATGTGTGTATGTATGTACAGTCGATATCCGAAAGTTGGGGTGGGTGTGTCACCGGAAGTGACGTGCACTTGATAGAAGTTGCGTGGATAAGCTGTTGCCAGCATGCTTTGCTGATATCCAGCGATGTATGTTGGAAGCAGCTTATCCACATAGTTTCTATCAAGTGCACGTCACTTCCGGTGACACGCCCACCCCAACTCACCGATATCGAGTATATGACTTTTAGCAATCAATGTTTTGCAGTGCTATCAATGTGATAACACCCCAACGGCTATATAAACACCTACTGAGCATGGTCTCATTCATTCCACATGATGCTGCAATAGCAGCTGGAGAGCAGTAGAGGGAATAGGATAAGATGGAGAAGGGCGAGGGGAGCTAACCGCCAAAAGACCTGAGGTCCAATTAATATCATTCTAAGGTCATGTCACGATTACGGTAATGCCTTCTACTATATAAGACACTTTTTTGTGCATGCGTGCCACCTCCACGAGGTGTCCATGTCACCAGTGGATGGGAGCACATTGGAAGGAGTAAAGCTTACGCAGGTAAGGAGGTCCCGGTGGTTGCCGGGGGACCAATCTGGTAGTAGAAAAAGCATTCGCAAAAATGGTCGACTTCAAGTGGTAAATTGCCTCCAAATCATTTTTCGTTAAGTCATGAACAAATATGTGCTGACTCGACGATTCTTATTCTACTTGATATGTGTTTGACTAACGTTGAAGCCTTTATATTATTCTTTCGCCTCAATTTCTCGGCACTGTTGTAGGCTTTTGCCATTATTCTGTGCTGATGAGTTTCACTGGATGTGGACGGTGTACAGCCATAAACGTGCCGAACCTCGAAATGCATGCTCTTCCATCTTACCATTAGGCATATGCGTATGTCAGGTCGGGTGGTGCCTACGGCGGGCATCAAATCTTTTTACGATCTACCGGTTGCGTACCCCATCATTGCGCAAGCTTGAAGTTTGCGTTCGTTACTGTGTCTAGCCGGCGTAGGAAGGAATGGGGGTGCTGCTGGGCTCTGGTTCTACTCGATATTCGATGGTTGGGGCAAGTTTTTACATTACGTTTTCTTTGTGACGTGCACTTGATAGAAGTTGTGTGGATAAGCTGTTGTCAGCACACAGGGTGGTCCAAAATTATGAAGACCAAGACTTTACGAAGTTAAAAAAATGCATAGTAGCTTAATGGAACGAACCAGCTTCAGGGAATTATATGTAACTCTTACCTCAAAGTAATTCCAGAATTGAGATCTGCCACTTCCCCCGTTAACACGAGCCTTCGGATGAGGGGGATGGCGCGTGCGGTGGCACGCAACTAAGGCGTGTCCAAATGTTTCCAGGCCTTCTGCTCTGCCTTCTTCAGGGAATCAAACTTTTGTGTTGCATTTATTTGCGCTTGCATCCAGGGTGTGAAATACAGAAATCTAGAGCTATTAGGTGGATGGTTCCATTGTAACAATTCTTCGAAAGCAACGAACTCGAAAAATCGCTTTTTGGAGGATTTTTGCTTTATTCTTGGGTGCTCGGTCCTGTAAGAAGTCCCAAGTAGACTACTCGTGTGGCTTTCTATCCACTACAGATGTGGAGTCTTTAGAGTGTCTGGCTGGGTTTTCACATCAATTTTTTCATTTTGGGAGTACGAAAGTCGACAAGGGGAGACCTAGTTTCTGCATCTGATAATTATCCTGGTGGTAACTGTAACTTTCGAGTCCTCCGAATTTTCCATCTGTGGTGGTTCCAAACTTATTGAAGAGTTGAACTGTTGTTCATAAGGGCTGTACGTCTGTCTGCACGTCCACAAAATGGAGTGATAAGGCGGCCAATGGAGTAAACAGGCCGCTAACAAATGGGTAGCTCGCAGGGCTTGCCCTATCAATGTTTTGCAATGGCATGATTGTGATAACAAACAACGGCTATATAAACACCTACTTAGCACACTTCTCGGTCATTCACATGGTGCTGCAGTGGCGGAGAGCAGTGGAGGGAGGAGGGGGAGTAAGGAGAGGAGGAGGAACGCAAAGCTTACGCAGGGAAGGGAGGTTCTGGCGGTTGCCGGGGACCAATCAGGTTTATTAATAAAATATCATGTTCGCGGTTACTCAAAAATGTGTTCTTAAACAGGAAAGTGTGAGAGACAGTAGGAACTTACAATAAAACTTTGTACTGCGAGTCCTTGTCATAATAGAAAACAAAAGAAAACAAAACATTATACCTACGACTTGGAGAGCGCTAACGCTTTACCTGTGACATATTACGTACACGGCAATGTCATATATTACATATGTGGAATTGACAAATCTTATTGAGAAATTCGAAGTTACCTTTTTTCATATGGCAGTTGAAGTTGGACACATTACCTTTTTTATGCGTGTTGCCTGTACTTTTTTGATATAAGGACTAGCTGG